AGATCTAAATAAAGCCCTATTCTTTACTAGTCTGGTTTCTTCTATCAATAACACAAGAGTTACCTATAGCACGAAACTGGCGAGCTGTGTAGAATACAAATTTCATTTAATTTTTTTATTATTAACACTATCTTTTTTTACTTAGTCTTAAGGTAGACTTTCTGATTATCTTTAACCAAAGTTTGGTATATATATTTATACACATTTTTTTAACTTAAGTATTCATGTTGTGGTAATCACTTTTCGTTCTCATTATATCACAATATTCGTCATATACCTCATGTCGGACTCAATACAAACCCAAAGCCAGTAGGATTTGTCACCGTTGTAGGCAGACACTATTTTTAATACGAAGAACTGACTCAGATTTTGGGTGTTGTGATGCCGAATTGTGGTTTGCTCAACTAGAGCATTATTTCATGAGACACAATATCAAATCTGAAGGAATTCGCTATAGAGACTTATGTTCTATCCTCCCTCCTTCAGTCACCAAAGAAGATCGTGACTTGATTTTAAGTCCATAATCACCACAACCACATGCCATCTTACGAAGAGGGATAATGAACCGTTTATCCTTATCAGACGATCAACGATTCCGTAGGCTTTTCGAAGGAAAAGCATTAGGTGTTAGATCGTCGTCACAGTTTCTACGTCACCTCCAAGTCTTAGTGGGTGACAACACAGTGAGTGAAGTAGTCCTTAAACAAAAATGGGCACAAACTCTCCCATACCACATCCAACACTGTTTGGATACACAAAATCCTGAAACCTCTTTACCTCATTTAGCGCTTATAGCCGATAGAATAATGGGAAGAAGTCCTCCAACTGAATCACGCACGATAAATCACACACAAAAAGAACCATCAAAAGACTCGACCAGATAAGGGCTAATTGCGAGTTTTAAAAGTTTCACTGAGGCTGTCGCAAGAATGCGAATGAGTCGTAGAGACGGGTACAGGTCACCACAATGACCAAGACCAAAGTCACAAATGTCCAGACAATCTGGGCAACTCTGTCGGTATCACTGGAAGTTTGGTGTCAACTCAACCAAGTGCATGCAACCATGCTCCTGGCCTAGACAGAATCCGAAGCATGAGAAACGAATAACATCTCCCCAGGTCGCAACGACTGAGAAGGGGAGCCTAAACAATAGCTCGTCTTATGTTGGAGACATAAACTCAGGTTTGAGCTTTTTGGTCGATACTGACGCTGCTCTTAGTATCATTCTCAAAAATAAAACTGTGCTGAGTCGAGAAACATCAGCAGTTACACTTCAAGCTGCCAATAAAACCCAAATCGCGACATTTGGGCAGAAGACTTTAACACCAGATTTAGTGTTCAGGAGGCCATTCCCCTGGGTTTTCACTGTAGCCGATTTAGATTTGATAATACTGGGGATGAAATTTCTAGAGAGATACGAATTTCTAGTTGATACTCAAAAACGATGCTTGATACTGAAAAGAAACTTTGAATTACACAAAAGGCAAATAAATTCACATCACATCTCCCAACTCGATACAAACTCCACCAGTAACAACAGCAAAATTCGAAGATATACTCGCGGAATTTCCAGACTTAACTAAACCGAACTCATAGCCTTCTAAAAGCAAACTAAAGGTAAGTCATAAGATCAAAACTGGAGATGTATTTGCGTTTGCAAGATCCAGGAAACTAGCATCAGATAAGCTCGAAATCTCTAGAGCCGAATTTGGTTACATGCTACAAGTGGGTATTATCAATGGTAATCCCCCTTACGTATGGTCCCAAAAAAAAAAGGAAGACGATTAGCAATCATGAGAGAACTACGGAGACCTCAACCATTAAACCGTACAATATAGGTACCCAATAACGCATATCCAAGTTTTCACAAACAGTTTACACGGTATGAACATATTTACTAAAATTGACTTAGTCAGGGCATATCGCAATATCCCGATAGTTGATGAAGATATCCCTAAGATAGCTATTACTACTCCTTTTGGATTGTTCGATTTTGAAAGCATGCCTTTCGGCCTGAGAAATGCAGCACAAACATTTCAGAGATTCATGGATAACCTACTTCGAGCTATGCCATTTGCACAAGCGTATATAGACGATTTGTTAATTGTCAGTCCCGATTTCTAATCACACGAACATCATGTATGAGCAGTGCTAAGACAGCTGGATGAAATAGGAATAAATATACATCAAAGTGAGTATATTTCCGGTGTTCGAACTCTAGAATTTCTCGGTCATACAGTTGTAGTGGCATTGGGCCCTACCACGAGACAATATGAGAAATATACATTAAACATTTAACGCGGAGGAATACAGAAGAATGGAGAAGGCGGGGAGAATAATTTGAATTAGTCCGAGTTGATCGGATGGCATGGCTCGGCCTTGCAGGCGTGGTCCTAGCTGAATGTTATCTTGTATCTTCTATTCATATTAAATATATTGTCCTATCTCTAGCCTAAGCTTGTTCTCTATCATGTATTGGCAATTGTTACAATGCAATGAATCGGTGTAGACGACGATGTAACGTCCACGTAAGATCTTATAGATTAGGCAGTTACATCATGATAAATCTACAATTTTAGGATTGTCTATTATTAGAGCAGTGCTAATATCATGTTAGACCGTAATTCTACACAGTAAGCCCAGAAGGTATCATGCCGATCAAAGAATAAACGGACACTATGGAACAATACCTCATGCCAAGTTCTCTAACACGTTTTAGAGGTTTTCTAGGCCTTATAGACTTTTATCGCACATTCATACCCGGTTGTGCACAACTAATGCAACCTTTGACAGATTCACCTAAAGGAAAACCAACAGAATTCAAGCTGACTTTTGAGGCTGTTGAGGCTATTAAACAGCTAAAAGATAATCTGGCTCAAGCATCTACGTTGATCTATCCGAGTTCCCTTTCCCTCACTTGCTTTGATGATGAATGCTTTGGACAAAGCAGCATGCGGTACTCTTAACCAACTTGTTAAAACGCCTGTAAACTAATTGTTTTCTTCTCAAAAAGACTCTCTTCAGCAGTGACAAGTTATTCTACCTTCGGGCGAGAACTTCTTGTAATCTACCTAACCTTTAGGCATTTCCAACACATGTAAGAAGGCAAAGAATTCATAGTTTTTACGGATTACAAACAGCTGACCAATTTACTAAAAGATAGGGCCGATAAATACTCACATCGAGAAGTACGACACCTTGACTATATATTACAGTTCACAAATGATATCCGACATGTCAAAAGTGAGGAAAACCAGGAGACACATGCATCATCTCGACTAGAAATGAATGTGATACAACAGTCTACAGTAAATTTCGAGACATTGAGAGACACAAGAAAAGGATCAAGAATTATGAAACCTACTCACAACGAACAAGTCTGGTCTCAAAGTAAAGCAGTTACCATCGCCTACTGATAGCATTCTAATTTACTGTGACACGATCAAAATAATGTCACGACCTTTCGTCCCCAAAAGTATGCGGAAACTAATATTTAATAACTTTTATTCCTTATCTCATCCTGGTGCAAAATATTCGACTAAGCTAATCAATGGAAGATATATATGACCAAATTTTTAAAAGGACGTACACAAATGGGTTAGAGAGTGTTCGGTGTGTCAACAGTCCAAAGTTAATCGTCACACAAATTGACCCAATGGTGTTTTCTTACAACCAGATGCACGTTTTGCTTATGTACATATCGACTTAGTAGGCTCTTTATCGCGTATGAATGGTTTTGATTGTCCGTTTACATGTATCGATTGATTCATGAGATTCCCTACAGCTATACCGATAACGGACATCACAACTAAAACAGTGGATGCAGTCAAAACCTAAGCCACCCTTAGCCTTAGACAGAAACGATTAGGAGAGTTTTCGTCAGAACTCTTTCTGGCAGTATTCAAAATATACATCAGGCTACATCTAGAAACTCATGAAGTTGCAGCACGTCTTTTCAAAAACGGAAAAAAGACTCTTCTGAACAAGTAAGGAAAAGCATCAACAGTGTGTTGAGGATTAAAGGATAAACCATATGAAGACCGTCTACGTTACCCAAGGTTGTTTTCGTTGGGCCCCAGAAGGGTACGAGGCGACCTGATAATGGCTTACCGAATACTATGTGCTTCTGAGTAAACGAATTGAGAATATACTACCTGAGTTTCACCAATGTACCTCAAGAAGCAGTTCAAGACGAATGACATATCAGAAAGGCAACTTCCAGAAGAGACATCACTCGTCTTTAATAAGAGACAACTTTACCTAGAATTTTCTCAGCAAATTCGACCATAGCCATCTCAGTAAATAGCTGTCCGAGGAGGCATGGTAGACAAGTATTCATAGATGGTTAATCATAATTCTCCTAAAGTAGTGTAATAATAAAAAGCATTGGAATTATTGTGTGAGCTCGTTATCCCCAAATCAACGCAATTTAAGCCATAAAGGACTAGGTGCGCATAAACAAACATATTGTACCTGGAATTCGATACCAGATAGTCACCAAGTACAAAGGGATCAATCGTTCATACAAACACCACACTTAGCTGTACCTGATACATGCCTCGTACCTTCAACTTTATCCCTACTATTATTATCATTATCGCCATCATTATTATCTCTACCGTCATTACTGCCATTATTATTAACCCTACTAACACCGTTTGCGTAAACATTTTGTTTACGCATTCTGAGTTTTATTTTCTTGTCTTTCATACAATCTAGCTTTTTAACCCTTCAAGTCGCAAGTAAGCAACCTTCCGCCCAGTAATGTGGCGTTTGCTTGTCTCAGAAAACCCAGTGCCTTAGAACAAATACAGTCATTAAATCCAAGTTATGTAGAATCCTATTTGTCTATAATATACGTTAGGATTAGCATATTTAAAACTTTGAACATGTGTTATCAGCATCTTTCATGTTTACATTAATGCAGATGTTGTGGGTAACAATTGGCTTGTGACCCCGATTTCTTACCATTGAATGCTGAAGACAGAAAGTAGGTTTGTGTGCAATGTGCAAGTAGTTGCGTTACTGTATTTTTGGCTCAGCCTTCGAAGAGTAAGTATGGGCGATCAATATACGTATATAATCCACAATGCCCTGTTATACAGCGTGACTTATTTTATTATTTGTATACGTTCGGTTTGAGATTTAAAGCCATATCCCTTGCTACATATAGTGGTATGACTATAATTTATGGACGACATTAGAACGACGTTTCGTTTCAGACATTAAAGGCTTCAATTTACTCTCAACTATTAGGAAACGTGCCATATTGTATTTTTTCATTTCCCTGAAACTTATTTGGCAAGTTCAGGTGTGTTCATGCAGTCGTTAGCCACATTTTTGGCGAAGAATAGTAATAGTACACAGGTCCTCAAGTTAGGGCTCATACCTGCGGCTTTTTGGTTAAAAGGCCTCAAAAACTATTTTGCTTTATTACTTTTTGACTAACCACACGAGTCATTAGATATGTTATCGGAATACAGATTGGATTAAAGCACGTTCCATGTAGTATGGTGTTGGGGCAAGCTGATCGGCTACTTCTTATCCAATCACCGCTAGTGGATACTTGGAGAGGACTTCAGGGTCTTTCCATGTAAAAATTATAAATATACTAACGTTTTCTCATTGTGATTCCTACTTCACCCGACCTTTTCACTTGGGATATAATTACGTCCCTGTTCAACCGTGTTCTGATTTGGAGACTTATTGAGTGAAGTAGTATCTAAGACTACTAAGCAATAGGAGTAGCTGGGTCGTAGTAAAAGAAATTATAACAAGATTTATTTCAAATAACCTCGAAAATATTCCATTGTGTAACCCAATTTTATTTATAGTTCCAGGGATATATATTATCAGCCTCATAATATTTGTATTACATCTTCCAAAATTTACTGTAAGTGGATAATAGGGTGTTTTGAATTGACGTAGTCTAGTAACATCCAAGTTTGTAGTTCTAATTTTGTTAATTTAAATCCTTAAGCTAACTAATGACAATCTTATTCCAGAAAGTATCATGTTGTATTGTATGCATGGTTGGTAGAAAAGTAATATTAACTGAAGCGAAATCTGGTAAACGATCCAATCACCAGATTAAGAAATGATTTTGTTAGCTTTTTTAGGAACAATGAGTTTTCTAGATTCCTTGAATATTTATATCTTTACACAACTAGTGCGTACCTTCTTAATTTACTGTTACTGAATATAGTAGTCGTAACTGGTTTCCTTTTATTTTTGGTTTATAGAAGTCTACTGAAACGTTTTTGACAATATTTAATCTGAAATATGTTGTTTTGTTCTCTGGCTCTACAAGAGTCCTGTTCACATGGAACGTAATTTTTACTAAACATACCCAGAACTCATATATGTGATCATATCCCAAGTTCTTTTCGATTCTGGGTTCTAGAAATGAAAGGTCATTCCAATTCAACGTTGCCTCCGGGATCAGTTCTGATACAATCTGGCCAGGCCATTTCTCAGACTTCCGGCATAGCTGCTCTCCAAACTAATAGTGTCACAAGTGGTCCACAGAATCTCCAAGTGTGGACTCCGTCACCATCTGGAGCTATTACGGTTTCAGGTATCCCATCATCAAGGAGTTCTGCCAACTTGGTTACTCTCCCCTCTGGCCAGACTGTATTGATGGCCAACTTGGTAACAACGGCTACCACAGCACCGATTTCTCTGTCAACATCTTCAATTGCTAAACAGCAAATCCAAGTTCCAACGGGTCTTCCACCTGGTGGGCCCATTGTCATATCTAATCCCAATTCTGCTGGTCCACTTGCTACACAGCTTACGAATCCCACTGTCATACAAGGTCCTAACGGTCAAATGTCAGTGGCATTACCAGGTGGAATAATAAGTAGCAATACATTAAACTCATTCAATAGTTCATCCACTCCTTTTGTTTCAAGCACATTGGGAAACATATCTACCGATCAACCTGTACATATCGCTCAGATTGTTGATAACCATTTGCGTCCAGGAACGGCTTGTTTCACAACAAATGCTGGCTTTCAGGGAATAACACCTATGAATCAAGTACTTTTGGACTCAACAGGTTTTAATCTTGGCAATGCTCAAACACAAAACAAGTTGATTAATATGTCATCCATCAGACCTCCTGGACTTGTGTCTTCTCCCATGCAACCAGTTCACCCTGGTAATTCGTTTGTTGCAACTGGAAATATTCCTAGAGGTTTGTCTGTTAACCTTTCTTCTGACATCACAAATTCTCAGTCAAAACCATCAGTTTCTCAACCAGTCATTGTCTCTACTTCAAATTTGCCTGTTCAAGAAGCAGCTATATATTCAGTTCAAGATGAATGCTCATCGGCAATGCAAAATGGTACTTCTACTTCGGGTCCAGTTACAACATCTGTGGTTGATGTTAGCTCAACTAACAATCCATCTATTTCAACTGCTGGGGTTACTGTCGTCGAAATACCTTGCTCACCTGAAAATGGTCAAACAAATCTCGACTCAAAGTGCATCACTGATGAGCAAACTAATTCCGTTTTCACATCGAGTTCCTTATCTGAGTTGTTGACTGAATTTGAACCTCATTTACAACTAGATCCTGATGTTGAAGAGGTATGTTACTAGTTATTTTATTGCTTATATTCTACCTATACAAAACAGGGATGTAACCATATTCTGATATATCTGTCTAGTCAAAAAGTCTGGTTGTTAAGTCTTCACCGTCGAGAGCTTTTTGATGATTTTACAAACACTGGAACAGTTCGTTTTGCAGACCTTAATTGTCCTCATTTGTTCTTACAGTTTTTTTGACTTACTTTGGTCAACGGATTAAGGTGGCTGTAAAATGTATATCACATGTGTCCAATTACCGTCTACCTCGACAGGATATGTTGGCTGGTGTAAGAATAGCTTGGAAAAAAGGTAGGGGTGTTCAGTATTAGTCATCTTAGTGAGTAGTACGAGAACAAACACAGTTTAAAGAATTCATATAACTCATTTCCTTATCATTTAAATTCCTGATATGTACAGGTCCATAAACGACAATAACTAAGCACTCATGCAGTTTCAAATTTTCTTGATGTTTTGCCACTGTTTTTCTTTGTGCTTATGTTCTTATTTCTCTTATTTCGACCCAGCTACTCTTATTGCTTAGTAGTCTTAGATACTACTTCACTCAATGCCCCCAAATGCCCTGGTATGGCCGAGAGTGGGGGGAGTCCGCTCCCCCTCTCGAAATGCTCTCACATGGCCACGCGTATACAGCCCCTGCCAGGGAAGTCCTACTCACTGCCTTCTCGTGGCGGGGGTGTTGTTTACGAAAATGAGAGGACGAAAAGTGAATGTCCGGCGCTATAACCGGATCCCAAAACAATGGTGCACATGGGCTCCAGTATCCTGAATAAACAAATGGCGTATGAACCAATCGTTGGTCACCGGCTACCATGGGACTGCATCTCCTCACGATGCTCCACTGTCTTGTGGATCAGATCTTCAGGTCAAAGGCTCGGGGTGTGGTCCCCTAAGAAAACCACCTGTTTCGGTTTGGGCACCCGTGCAGTATCATAGCCCTCACACATATCCAATGAGATCTGTGTGGCGCATATGTATTTGGTACCTTCTTGTACCGATATCTATGTGTTAAAATAAAATAATAATAAAATAAATACTTCACTCAATAAGTCTCCAAATCAGAACACGGTTGAACAGGGACGTAATTATATCCCAAGTGAAAAGGTCGGGTGAAGTAGGAATCACAATGAGAAAACGTTAGTATATTTATAATTTTTACATGGAAAGACCCTGAAGTCCTCTCCAAGTATCCACTAGCGGTGATTGGATAAGAAGTAGCCGATCAGCTTGCCCCAACACCATACTACATGGAACGTGCTTTAATCCAATATGTATTCCGATAACAACTCCCTTAGCCAACTGTAGCTGAAGAATTACTAAGCCTACAAATCGTTTACACGATGCTCAACCTTGACTGATAGTGTTGTAGTGAACAGAACACTGGTGGAAACAATCGAATGTATTTGACAACAAATTACAGAACTTGTTAATAAGATCTAACAGCCATGTAGTAAATGCTCAATTTGCAAAACGTCCATCAATTGTCTAAAAATGACTCAGATTTCATTGTTCTTGCATTTTCATACAAATTGTATTTTGTCTTCATTCTTTACTGCTTGATCTTCTTGTCTCTCTGCTGCCAGACGTTCTGTTCACGACTAACATCATATACTACTTATGTCTACATAAGTAGCACACCACAATATCACGTAGATATATGTATGACCAAAGTTAGAAGTGCCCCCAAATGCCCTGGTACGGCCGAGAGTGGGAAGAGTCCGCTCTCCCTCTCGAAGTGCTCTCACACGGCCACGTGTATATAGCCTCTCACTGCTTTCTCGTGGCGGGAGTGTTGTTTACGAAAACAAGAGGACGAAAAGCGAATGTCCGGCGCTATAACCGGATCCCAAAACAATGGTGCACATGGGCTCCAGTATCCTGAATAAACAAATGGCGTATGAACCAATCGTTGGTCACCGGCTACCATGGGACTGCATCTCCTCACGATGCTCCACTGTCTTGTGGATCAGATCTTCAGGTCAAAGGCTCGGGGTGTGGTCCCCTAAGAAAACCACCTGTTTCGGTTTGGGCACCCGTGCAGTATCATAGCCCTCACACATATCCAATGAGATCTGTGTGGCGCATATGTATTTGGTGCCTTCTTGTACCGATATCTATGTGTTAAAATAAAATAATAATAAAATAAATACTTCACTCAATAAGTCTCCAAATCAGAACACGGTTGAACAGGGACGTAATTATATCCCAAGTGAAAAGGTCGGGTGAAGTAGGAATCACAATGAGAAAACGTTAGTATATTTATAATTTTTACATGGAAAGACCCTGAAGTCCTCTCCAAGTATCCACTAGCGGTGATTGGATAAGAAGTAGCCGATCAGCTTGCCCCAACACCATACTACATGGAACGTGCTTTAATCCAATCTGTATTCCGATAACAACTCCCTTAGCCAACTGTAGCTGAAGAATTACTAAGCCTACAAATCGTTTACACGATGCTCAACCTTGACTGATAGTGTTGTAGTGAACAGAACACTGGTGGAAACAATCGAATGTATTTGACAACAAATTACAGAACTTGTTAATAAGATCTAACAGCCATGTAGTAAATGCTCAATTTGCAAAACGTCCATCAATTGTCTAAAAATGACTCAGATTTCATTGTTCTTGCATTTTCATACAAATTGTATTTTGTCTTCATTCTTTACTGCTTGATCTTCTTGTCTCTCTGCTGCCAGACATTCTGTTCACGACTAACATCATATACTACTTATGTCTACATAAGTAGCACACCACAATATCACGTAGATATATGTATGACCAAAGTTAGAAGTGCCCCCAAATGCCCTGGTACGGCCGAGAGTGGGAAGAGTCCGCCATCCCTCTCGAAGTGCTCTCACACGGCCACGTGTATATAGCCTCTCACTGCTTTCTCGTGGCGGGAGTATTGTTTACGAAAACAAGAGGACGAAAAGCGAATGTCCGGCGCTTTAACCGGATCCCAAAACAATGGTGCATATGGGCTCCAGTATCCTGAATAAACAAATGGCGTATGAACCAATCGTTGGTCACCGGCTACCGTGGAACTGCATCTCCTTATGATGCTCCACTGTCTTGTGGGTCAGACGTTTAGGTCGAAGGCTCCGGGTGTGGCCTCCTAAGAAAACCACCTGCTTCGGTTTGGGCACCCGGGCAGTATCACAGCCCTCACACATATCAATTGAGATGTGTGGCGCATATGTATTTGGTGCCTCCTTGTATCAATATCTATGTGTTAAAATAAATAAATAAAAAATTAATAGTTAGAAGTTAAGTACTTTGTATGAAATACTTTCAAAATGCCTTTGTTTTGGGACTTGGATTTATAATGTCCTCTTATGATACATCTCAAAGTTTTGAGTTATAACAAGTCTCTGATAATAATTATTATTATCAATATTTATATTCTCCCGTTAACCTTTGGAACGATACATTATTGCTTCTGCAGTAGTATTTCATGTGTATATCGAGTAATAAATATTATAGATCTTTGTAGTAAACCAACTAACGTAATTTATTGAAAACACTCTGTTGTTAGTACTTTCACACAAACTGTTATGAAGAACTCTTTCAATACACTCAAGGGAACAGTGTTTTCGTTTAGATCTTCATCAAAATTTATTCTAATATATAGTAATCCATTTATATGCATATATGAAAGGTATTAAGCTAATCATAACAATTTATGGGTCAGCGATATTGAAAAAGCATTAAATAACTAATAATAAGTAGGAAGAATAAGTGTAATAGTAAATATAAGAACAGTATGACATGAACAAATATATATCAACATAGGTAGCAGGTAACAGCTTGAAGAATGAACTAAAATGGTAATACTTGGAATTTATTTATTTGAACACATAAATATTGGTACAAAGGGGCACACAAGTTACTTAATTTATGTGAGGGTCGTGATACTTTCCGGGTGCCCAGAACGAAGCAGTTGGTTTTCATAGGGGGCCATACCCCAAGTCTTTGACCTAAATCTCTAATCCACAAGTCAGTGGAGCAACGTTACGAGATTCAGTACCATGGTAGGAAGTGACTAACAATAGGTTCATACACCTTTTGTGTTCTGCTCAGGATCCTGGAGCTCATGTGAACCATTGGTTTGGAATCAGGGTTTTCCAACTCCCTTAGGTGGAACCTCCATATCCACCAACCAGGTTGAAGCGCCGAACATTCACTTTTCGTCCTCTCAGTTTCGCAAACGACGCCCTCGCTGCGATAAGGCACTGAGTAGGACTTTGTTATATATTCGCTCTTACGGTTATAACCCAGCTATTCCTATTGCTTAGTATTCACGGACACAGATTCACTCGACAAGGCCCCAAATCAGAACACGATTGAGCAGGAAGGAGATTATATTCCAAATAACAAGGTTAGGTGGAAGCAAGAAGCAAAATAGGAAAACCGTTGGTATATTTATGGCTTTCTACATAAGAAGATTCTAGAGTTTTCTCCATGTGTCGACTAGCGCTGATTGGATAAGAATCAGCCAATCAGCGTGCGCCAAAGCAATCGTGGATTGAGCATGCTTAAATCCAATCTATGTCCCACTAACACCTCCCCTTTGAGCAGATTCGTAGGATCTGGTGCTAGGGTCCAACTGCAACCGAGTGACTGGCCTGTGCTTTCGATTTGTCCATCGTCTAGATAATAAAGAAGTATCACTTTGCTTGCACAGAAACTGACCTGTCTGTTCCAGGCGTTTTGATTTCAAAGGTGTCTAGCAGAACATCAAGAGGTAATCGATATTGAATCTCGTTGCTGGCTATCGAAGTTGCTTTCAATTGGTTAGCATGACGTACCCAAACTTCTGAGCCAATTGACACCTCATAAACCACACTCCCCTTCTTTTTCAAGATCCGACCAGCTGTCCATGTAGGATGTTTCTCACGATAGTCCATAGCAAGTACTTTTTGTCCCACCGTGAACAATCGTTTTTGTGCCCCATGATGTCGATTGAACTGATTCTCTATCGATAGGTTTCGTTGAGGCTCAAGAGCTGGCGTAGGACGGATGACATCGAAATGTGTTCGTATTTTTCTGCCAAGTAGAGCTTCTGCTGGAGAGACCCCCTTAATCTTCTGAGGGTTCGGTGTAGAGCGATAAATAAGCAGGAACCTCTCTAAGATCTCTTCGGTGGTCCCCTCCCCTTTAGATTTTTTAGAGCATTTTTAAATGTACTCACAAAGCGTTCCACTTGACCATTTGATTGGGGATGGAATGGAGGTGTTCGGACGTGATGGATTCCGTTCTGCCGACAAAATTGTGAGAAAATTACGGACGTAAACTGTGTTCCGTCGTCACTAACTATCAATTCCGGGACTCCGAAACGACTGAATAGTTGACGTAGCTTACTGACTGTGCAGCTTGCAGTCGGGTGTTCCATGAGAAAGATTTCTGGCCACTTGCTGTATGCATCAACTACCAAAAAGGTAAGTTTGTCTATGAAGTGGACCAGCAAAGTCCAAGTGTATACGCTGCCACGGTGACTGTGGTATTGGCCATGATTGCAGCTCTGCTTTTCGCGGTGCTTTCGTTGCTAATGCACATTTGGTACATGAACGGGATAGCTGCTCCAGTTGGGTGTCTACATGCGGCCAGTATACATAACTTCGTGCTAATGCTTTCATGCGATTTATTCCAGGATGTCCTGCGTGCAACTGTTCAAGCACTGCTGGTTGTAGCTTCTTTGGGATTATGACACGTTCGGCAAACAGCAGGCAGTCGTCGATGATTGAGAGAGAGTCTACGCTGGTAAAACTGTTGAAGCTCTGTGGAACTGATCTTCGCGGGCCATCCTTCCAGGTGGAACTTTCTAACTTCTTGTAGAATCGGGTCTCGAAGAGTTTCTTTTCTGACTTCATCTGACGACACGGGAGTGTTTCGAATGGCATCTGCCACTATACTTCGTATTTCTGGGTCTACTGCTATGGAGGCAATGATTATATCCTCTGGTCCAGGATGCTGAACTCCAATTAATCGAGTGAGAGCGTCGGCTTGACCGATAGTATTTGTCGACTGATACTTGATATTGAAATCATAACTCAGGAGCATTGTTGCCCAGCGCTGTAGTCTATTAGCCGTATAGACAGGGATTCCTTTCTTAGAACCAAAAATTGCAATCAAGGGTTTGTGATCTGTCAGTAGAGTAAATGTACGACCATAGAGCATTTTATGAAATCTTTTGACAGCGAAAATGATCACAAGAGCTTCCTTTTCAATTTGACTGTAGTTCCGCTCGGCTGGGGTAAGTGATCTAGCATCATGGGCAATTGTCTTTCCTGATTTGTCCTGATTTGACTCTGTCGAAAGATGCTTGACATTCTGCTGACCACTGCCAAGGTTTATCTTTTGATAGTTATTCATTCAGGGGACCTCTCACTCGATGCATTTCAGGCAAGAATGTGCTATAATGACTGATTAACCCCAAGAAGGATCTTAATGAAGAGACATCAGTTGGTGCAGGCATCTTCTGAATGGCTTCGATGTTGGCAGGGTCTGGTCGGCGACCGTTCTTATCTAAGATAAAACCAAGGTATTTGATGGAATGCATAAAGAAAATACACTTTTCCTCACGTAGTTGGAAACCATATTCCAACACTCGGTTAAGGACTTGATGTAGTCGATCAGAAAGTTCATTGTCAGTTGAACCCATAACTATGATATCATCTAGATAAGCTGCTGTACCAGGTATACCTGTTAGCATCGTATCCATTATTTGCTGAAAGATGGCAGGTGCAGTCTTGATGCCAAATGGTAGACGGGTGTATTGAAATAACCCTCGATGAGTGTTAATGGTCAAAAGCTCTCTACTGTCTTCATCTACTTCTACTTGCAGATAGCCATCGGAAAAGTCTATTTTCGCGAAACATGTCCCACCATTAAGTTTGGCAAACAGGTCTTCAGGAACTGGTAACGGATATTGATACACATCTAATGCAGCATTTAAACCGGCCGAGAAATCAGCACATATGCGTATAGTTCCATTCGCCTTCTTAATCACTACGATCGCTGCGGCCCATGCAGAGTAGTTGACTGGTTGGATTACACCAGCCTGTTGCAAGCGATTAAGTTCTTGATCGACTAACTCAAGAGCAGCATATGGTACAGGACGTCTAGGACGAAAAATAAGTTTGGCATCTGGTTTCAGTGGTAAATGAGCTTTTATCTTGGTACAGTGGCCAAGGCTATTCTGAAAAACAGAGGCAAACTTTCTTTTCAGTTTTTCTAGTAACTTTTCACCTGTCGGCCCCCAAATGCCCTGGTACGGCCGAGAGTGGGGAGAGTCCGCTCTCCCTCTCGAAATGCTCTCACATGGCCACGCGTATATAGCCCCTGCCAGGGAAGTCCTACTCACTGCCTTCACGTGGCGGGGGTGTTGTTTACGAAAATGAGAGGACGAAAAGCGAATGTCCGGCGCTATAACCGGATCCCAAAACAATGGTGCACATGGGCTCCAGTATCCTGAATAAACAAATGGCGTATGAACCAATCGTTGGTCACCGGCTACCATGGGACTGCATCTCCTCACGATGCTCCACTGCCTTGTGGGTCAGACGTTTAGGTCGAAAGCTCGGGGTGTGGCCCCCTAAGACAACCACCTGCTTCGGTTTGGGCACCCGAGCAGTATCACAGCCCTCATACAAATTAATCGAGATTCGTGTGGCGCATATGTATTCGGTGCCTCCTTGTATCAATACCTATGTGTTAAAATAAATAAAATAAATAGTAACTTTTCACCTGTCTTCTTTGCAAGTACTGGGGTGTCTAATGATGAACGCAATACGTTGCAGACACTGTTAATCGGTACATGCATTATTCCAAGTTTATCTAACATATCTAGACCAAGAAGATCAAGGTTTGGCCGTTCTGTTAGGTAACATATTCCTGTACAGTTAGTTCCATTGAAGGAAAATTCACACTGTAATTCACCAACCGGTTTTAGCACACCACCTGATGCGTTTTTAGTCGTTTTCTTAGATGGCTTCATTGGCAGTTTACCCAGCAAGTTATACGTTTCTCTAGACACTAAGGTGATATCTGATGCCGTGTCAATTTGAAGACGAGCTGATATGCCGTTTATCTGGATGGTAACATACTTTCTCCGAATGTCATAGTTTGTTTGAAAGGCAGCTACCAGAGAAGGAGATTTAAACTCGGCTGATTTCACATGTCGAGAACGTTTATGCTTCTTTTTGGGATGAGACGTACGGTTCGGTGGACAATGACCTTCTTTATGCCCACGTTTGTTGCACACCTAACATATATGCTTTTTAAATGGACAGAATCGTACATAATGCCAATCACCACATAACCAGCATGCAGTCGTTGGTTTGTTACGAGTTTTTATCGGCTTCTTAACTTTTAACCTAGTAATAGCATTGACACTACTGCAGGTTATATTAGAATTTACCTGTTCAATCAACTCGTTGTCGTGTCTGATGCTTTGTAGCCGCTTACACTCATCTGTCAACGTTCTGAGTGTGACGTTCGGGTCTTGATCCAGTCGAGCCAAAAGTCTAGTCCTGATCTCAGCATCTTGTGGTGACTGAAAAGCTTTGATGAATATTAGGCATTTAAATTGGTCTTCTGTCAACGAGCGTAACTTGAACCGTTCAAATTCTCTATTGACGATGTCTGCTAAAACACCATATTCGTCGGCTTCGCGTTTCACCAAATTTAGACACTGATGTCGAATACTAAACAATGAGGAGGATTCACCGAATATCTCTGACAATTGAATTATCGTCTCCTCGAAACTGAGCTCTCGAGGTAACTTAGGCAATATATGGTCAGCATAGCGTGCATGTTCATTAATTCCTAACTTACGTACCAACAGTCGAGTCTTCCACGCGTCGTCTTGGTTACAGAATTCTATTCTAAATGTATCTTCCTAACGTTTGAACCACGTGAGAAAAGTATTTCCGCTTTCGGGATCATAGATGAATTCTGGTATGCTGCTAGCAACTGCATCACAAGACGTACTTGAAATGGCATGTGAACTCGAGCAGTGGAAGCTAAGCTGTTGAGTCAGAGTCTCTAACAACCGCATTTGTGCATCTAATTGTTGTTGCTGTTGTTGTAGTATTCGGTTAAGCTGGTCGTCTGATATGGACATATTGAACTTATTTTCCTTTTTCCTCGTCGCCACTGTTATATATTCGCTCTTACCGTTATAACCCAGCTATTCCTATTGCTTAGTATTCACGGACACAGATTCACTCGACAAGGCCCCAAATCAGAACACGATTGAGCAGGAAGGAGATTATATTCCAAATAACAAGGTTAGGTGGAAGCAAGAAGCAAAATAGGAAAACCGTTGGTATATTTATGGCTTTCTACATAAGAAGATTCTAGAGTTTTCTCCATGTGTCGACTAGCGCTGATTGGATAAGAATCAGCCAATCAGCGTGCGCCAAAGCAATCGTGGATTGAGCATGCTTAAATCCAATCTATGTCCCACTAACAGACTTCCCCGTCAGTGGCTGTATACGCGTGGTTATGTGAGAGTATTTCGAGAGGGAGAGAAGACTTTCCCGACTCTCGGCCGTACCAGGACATTTACGGGCAACCATTATACTTACACAATAAGAAATGTGTATGAATAATCAGATTAAGCGTATAAGTAAGTACAATAAACAATTTTATTTACTTCTTTCTTAAATCAATATTTTTTTGTGTTACCTTTTTACCCCACTTTCTTTCTTCGTAGGTTATAACTAATTTAGCTAATGAATTTATTGTAAATTGTGCAGAAAAAGCTCAACAACTTGCTTTACATAGAGGTATATCAAATGTTGAAGCAAAAGATGTTGTATTTTGTATGGGTAGGTTTTTGTTTTTCTTTTATAAATTTTAATATTTGTTATTATCATTTGATTGTATATTTGGATTATATAATTTAACTATTTATAGTTTCCTAATATACAATTAGTAATATACAAAGTAATATATAAAGTGAAACTACAAGTATCAGTATAGGGGTTGTGGAGATTATTAAGTTTTTGGTTGAGATCATGAACCGATTGATGTTAGACCACCGTTGGAAACCTGGAATCCAGCGAGCGGGATCGTGGATGCGCAGTGCTGAAGAGTCCCACAATAGGATGAAACGGACGTCCAGTGCTTCCAGGTTTCCAACGGTGGTCTAACATCAATCGGTTCATGATCTCAATCAGAAACTACAAGTGTTCTCATATGATTAAATATGTACAAAATTTATAAAATACATTTGATAAAATAGCCCCCTATAAAGATACAACTTAAGCTACTGAATTTGATTTAAAGCTCATGATTAGCAAAATAGTTTTGAGTATGACAAAATCTTTTCAAAAACTAGTATACTAAAGTGTTTGCCAAACTTTATGAATAATTATGCAATACTTTACATATTATCAGAAAAAAGTCACTGGAAGTTTTAATATTTGTTTGGGGATATTTAGTATATGGTAACACTGAATTTATTCATTTTATGTTGAGTAGGTCTTCTAATAATGAGTTTTCTATAAGTGATTTACTCTACAGAGCCATTCAAATTAACTGCAACTCTACTCGCAATGATATAACCAATTTGGTTCCAACGATTCTCACGAAAAACCATTACCATGGTAACTGAAATTTATTGCCTACTACTTGCATACAGACAAGTAAAAATAAGTCATATGTTTAAGGAGAGCACATGGAATTTATAATATTAGTGTAACTTAATTTGACGAAAATCTCAAAATCTAGTAAACATGAACATGTGACCGGTTACGTACCGTTAGGCATTTTTGTGATGAAACAACTCATTTAATAACCGTATAGCGAACGCATTGAAGTAAACAAAGAAAAGAATTTCTTCCAGTTTTGTGATGAAGCTTAACCCCCAAATGTACAATTTATTGAAGTAACAATATAAGCAGTTGTACTTCAGAATATTCTGACTTCTCTGATATCCATTTTGTTATAAATCTGAAGTAGCTGGGAAATAGATGTAGGATGATGGTATCAAAGAGTAATTAAGAGTCAATAACGAGTTCACGCAGGCCATATCTACCGGATCAATCCTAAAGCCACATTTGGATACTTAGTATACCTTCTACCTAAGATTGCAACATCTATCCAGTTGAAAGTGGATGACCTCTCCATCCCTTGCACGAACATCAACTAACGACCAAACGCCATGATATATCTTCGCTTATATCAATGCATGTGGACAATTTTGAACGTGCATTCGACTAGGAAAATGTTGAAATCCTAAATAGAGGGAATAGTAAAAACACCAAAGAATTTTTAGAAGTATGGTACTCAGGTCAGTTCACAATTAACAACCAATCGAGAAATTGATGGACAATTATAGGAATCAATAACCAAATCAAAGAGACAGTCAAAGTAAAGATGTAAACAATGACAGATGAATAATCTACAATAACCATTCAAGATTGAGGTTGACAGGACAGGCTGTTAGTCATATGTAGATAAATTCGAATACTTCACTTCTACCTGAAGTTTTTACTGATAATGTTGTTCAGAGGAACAATGTAAGCTCTACGATCAAAACATCCAGCTAAGAGGACGTATACATTCATAATTTGGCTTCTTTTTTTCTTCGTCCCAAATTTAGAACGTGACTGGAACGTTATTGTCCCGGGTTTCGCTACTGAGGAACGACTTGTACGTAAAAGTTTCACAACTGAAGCACATAAACAGCGCTTAGCTTTAATTAAAAAGCAAATTAAGAAAATGTGAATATATATATATATATCACTTTGTATATTCAAAATTATCCTGTTTTTCACATCTCCCCTCCGTTATTACACTTATATTTATTTAATTCTGCCTTCTGTTGACTTTTACTTTTTTAGTGGGGAAAACTATTTTTTTAAAATAAAAAGGTTATTTGACGTAAATTAAATTGTTTTTTATCATGGTAATTATTATGTAATTTATTTTAGGTGACAGATTTCATTTCTGTAAATTGATATGTTACAAAATACCTGATTGGTATTGAATTACTGTTGTGTACCATGGTCTAATACGTTTTTCAAGGTAGAAAATACGATTAAAATTATTTGTATGAACCAGTTTTTGTTTTTCATATCAACATTAAACAACTGTAAATAAGATAATTTAGAAAATGTCAAAAAATTGATGGTATTGTATTAACTGAATGCTGGGTTGAAAGTTCAACATTTCATCTTACCCAATCATAAGCAACGTAGAACCTAACACATGTGAATAAGCTACAACGTGGGACTAGGTACATATATGCATCGGTTTAAGTTGTCACACCTCATTAGCACAGTAAGATGAACACCGAATTCATAGAAGTTGTTAATTCGACGGTGGTAATATATAAAAGAAAGGTTGCATATACGGATATAGTACAGGAGGATAGAATTAGTTGGTAGAAAGATATAAAGCAATTTTAATCTCATAGTTTAATAGAACACAACGAGTGTATACACCTACGCCGTTGTGATCGATTCTGAGCCATGTCACCCAGAGTTTCCAACCATTGGTTACGATAGCCACGCGGACCCCAACCAAGTAGTTTGCATCTACCAACATGGCTCAGACAAGAAGTTAGTGACTTCGAGGACTTTCCAAGACGGCCTGCTTGAATATCTGAGCTACCTGTTCCTGCCATCTGGATATTTCAACAAGTTATTTGTGAAAAGTTTACGACATTTCGCTGTACAAGTTACAAAAGAGCTCAATCAGAAACAATGGTTACTGGCAATATGCATCGAAAAGGATATACATTTATCAGATGTCGATTCCTGAACCGCTGACATCTAACTGGCGTCCACTCAATATTTATCGCAAGAACTGATAAAGAAATAAGAAAGGGAAAGTTGTTGTAATACTTTGTGCTGATAATTCTATATCGTACCAAAAATATAATATTGAATAAAGCCACTAATGATGATAATAATACCACGTTTTGGTTTGGCTGCCCACATGTAAATTATCCTTAGTTAACACACCATATCAGGATATCGAGATGTTATTGTTGTGTGGGCGAGAACGATCGTGATTGGTTGTCTGCTTAGTCAGACATGTAGACAGTCTGACAGGTGTCAGATAAGTTATATATTATCTTACCCTTATTATTGTGACACACTCACTCATTCTTATTTACATTATTATTGATTGTTCATTGTTGTGGATTGTGTCGGGTTTTTGAGTGTGAAATATATTACGTTCTGGTCAGGCTGATTACGTGTTCTTGATCTGAGTTGTGTTGAAGTCCTGTAGGATAGACATTGGGAGGGATCTAGTGTAGATAATCGTTAAGCGTTACAACATTAGACAAAGTAATACCGAGCGTTATAACAGTTATCAAGATGAATACCAAAGAAGTAGAAATAACAGTATCAATAGTAGTGAGAAAGATTACAAATGGACAAGATGATTGGAGAAAAACGAATACATATGTGGGACAAAAAGATAATTTATCTAAAACAAGACAAAGAGTGGATGAATCTGCTTGATTTAGACCGTCGGAGTTATATCTAACCAATGATTACGTAGATCCTGATCATGTAGTCTGCATCTACCAACAAGGTTCAATCCAAATGACTTCATGGGTTATTGCCACGTGATTTGGGTATTTCTAACTCCCCAGCAAAGCGCATTTATGACCCCGCGAATAATCGAACTCGAGGTTGAGACCTCAAGAGGAGTACTTAACCTAAAGGTTAGACTGCTGAGTTGTTATTCACTAACTAACATTTCTAACTTTAATCACACTTAGGTCTTGGTTGATTACCATTGATATTGTTTATCTCATACTCGAAATGGTTGAAGTCTACTGGTCACAACTCATTCGGAGTTTACCTCTTAAAGTTAGTCACAACTAAGCACATAATATTCGTTATTGTAGTGTTGAGAAGACTGCTGAATTCGACTCAGATTTACTAATCTACATGATTTGTTTTATACTTCTTCATTGAAATTAAATATTCCCCAACTCTTCACTGTGTAAAAAAAGTGGTAGCAGTTTGCTTCGTATTAATCTAGGAGTAGAATGTAATTTTTAAGTTGTCTTCCTCGATGTTATGGGGTAGTGGCTTGGGGGTTAAGGTGTTCGATTTTCAGCAACCAGATCTCAGGTTCGAACGTTGACCCACCTAATACGCTTTGTACAACTGGTTAGTTCGTACTATTAGTGTAGCTCATAACCAAGTGAGTCAGCCCACCTTCTTATGATTGCTACCACACTATTTCAATTTCTCTGGTATGCATCTTGCTAATTTCATCTCGTCGTGCCAATATGGTATGGCAAATTGAGTTAATGTAAGTTGATCATGACTCACTGACTTTTACACAACTGTTAACATTACTCCCACTCCTTAATTTTGTACCTTGGTAATATTTTCTGTCCTACTGATGCGAAGTGTAGCAACTTAAACTGGCACTCACTTGTCAGAAAAAGCATGCCAAGTACAGCTTGCCGCAAATTTGTTTAGAAAACGCAACATTAAATAAGTTTGATGTTTCATATACCCCTTATATACAAAAGAAAAATGAAACAATAGAATATTCAAAAGTTCTTTAGATGGCATTTTTGATAATTACCAGCTGTATGGCATATCAAGTATACGTTTACTTCATCAAAATAATTCATATCGAAAGTCATAAAAATTTGCAACCAAAGGTAACGAACGTGAAGATGTAAGAATAGTATGAAAAATGATATGCTTCTTTATTTTAGTGTAATTATCTGTATATGGTTCTCACTACAGTTCATAATGATATTAGTTCAAGTGGTTATTTCCCACCGTTGACGACTGTACTTTATTATGACTTCAGGCGTTTAATTTTTATAAATTTGTCGTTTATTGAAACACATCCTCTACTTTAATTATTATCATTGGTACTACTACTGTCTCGTTGATTTCAACTTGCTGTTTGGTCGCGTGGGACGACGTAACTTAGTATCAAGTTGTTGGAAAATAATCAAAGATGAGGGCGGAACTATTGAAGATAAGCGCTGAGATCAGTATGTTTGTTAAGTAGGAAAACAGTCAGAAGCACATTTGAATAGACGAGGTGGAATTAAAGTTGTTTTTTAGTCAACATTGACATTCATACGCAGCAGGTTGTTCAATCTAAAAAATATATTCAATCATAGTCAACCCCAATTATCCATAAAACTTACCTACTGGATATATGCATACACCCAGTGAAAGCAATTCAGCAATCTAAGCTGAACATTACTCGACTGGAATTAGAGTGATAATTAGTACGTAAATTGTTAGTTTCAGGTTAGGAATTTAATTTATAGAAAGCAAGTTACGTCAGGCTTTAGTTGAAAAACACCATTTAGCATCAAATCTCAACAAGAATCCTGTATGAAAAAAGCATGGTGAACTAACATGTCGGGGCCACGTTTTATCAAACTGTAGTTATCAGGCCCATGAAGTGGTTTTTATTTCCTGATTATCAAATAACGGCTAAAAAATGTTCCACATTTCGAGATTATGAAAACTAGTTAGTAGTGAATAATAATACCTAGAATCTAGTACACGAACTGATACGTGATTACTAAACTTCATTTAATTAGAGCGGCAGCTTAGTGAGTAGAGCACTCAATTTCAACCATCGATCTAATATTCGATTTAGAAGTACCACTGTGCATGAAATGGAATGCAATGTTTGAAAGTGAGTTAATAAATCTGAACATGTATAAGTTGCGAGCACATGACACTAAACAAGTACTAAGGATTGGATTTTCATGTACTAAATAGAATAGGTTAGTAAAGACGAAACCATAATCTATAAGCTGTGCTGTTCATTAGAATGCTCTACTTCTAGTGATGCCGTGGTATGGCCGAGAGTGTGGTGGGTTCGCCCTCCCTCTCGAAATACTCTCACATGGCCACGCGTATACAGCCTCTGCCACGGAAGTCCTACTCACTGCCTTCTCGTGGCTAGGGTGTTGTTTACGAAAATGAGAACGAAAAGCGAATGTCCGGCGCTTTAACTGGATCCCAAAACAATGGTGCACATGGGCTCCAGTATACTGAAGGAGCAAATGGCGTATGAACCAATCGTTGGTCATCGGCTACCATGGAACTGCATCTCCTCACGATGCTCCACTGCCTTGTGGATTAGATCTTCAGGTCGATGCCTCGGGGTGTGGCCCCCTAAGGAAACCAGCTGCTTCGGTTTCATCACCCGGGCAATATCACAGCAATCACACATATCCAATGAGATCTGTGTGGCGCATATGTATTTGGTGCCTTCTTGTACCGATATCTGTGTTAAAATAAAATAATAAAAAATGTCGTATGAACCAATTTCTTGGTCACCGGCTTCCATGGGACTGCATCTCCTCACCATGCTCCACTGCCTTGTGGATCAGATCTTCAGGTCAAAGGCTCCGGGTGTGGTCCTCTAAGAAGACCACCTGCTTCTGTCTGGGCACCCGGGCAGTATCTCAGCCCACACACTAAAACATAATGAACTATTTACTACTTCTAGTGAGATAGAGTTTCTAAGTATACTAGCGAATAACAATTGCACATACGACTGACTTCGTCAATGTACCAAAACAACAATCAATGCTCAGTCCAACAAATATGTCATCCATTAAGTATTATATTTCGTGCCGACAGTTTTGGACATTAAGTTCACCAAACGCACTACTAACCAGTTTACACCAACGGAATATATATATTTATATATTACTTACAGGTATTTGTCACAAAGTGATTATTGAAACCAACTAATTAAGGTGACCTGACCACTAGATCTTTCAATCTAGATGAAAACGGTAAAATTTTGAGTAATTAGAGACACACTGGTGTGGACCAGAACACATCATGAAGTTGAGTCGAGTGCGAAGCCCCTACGCTTGGACAAAAAAAAGACACCTTAATTTCAGGTGTAATGTTTATCGTCGAAATTTAGTACACATAGGATTGCTTAGTGCATTATCACGAACCCCGACTAACTCATGACATTGGTAGTAGTAACGAAAGCTAAAAATAACTATCCAAACGCGTTTGAGCTGCTAACCTATTAACCTAGGTAATGTACCATGCAAGCTTCCATAGTTTCATGCAATTAGTTC